TCAAACCTGCTGGCAGAGGACTCGTCGCATGGGCCGAGAGTCTCAGCTGGTGCAGGCGGAGGCGTGCCAGTCACACCAGCTGAGGATGCGCCCTATCATTGTTGGTTCATCACACTCAATCGATGGCTACCCCTTTGCTGTGTTGTTTTATAGGAGCCAGGCTGACAGCCCTTATCAAACTAAATCAACATGTGAAACTTGGCCCTCAATAGATTGACTGTGTTCCTTTTAAAGTAAAATGAAAGCCATTCCTTTCTCCTTCGTTGATTTTTTTTTTTTTTCTGGTTATTTGCCTCTAAACTATCAGTGCTAAAAATAGGCTCAAATTAAACTGAAATCTGGAAGCTTATGGCTCAGCCCAGATAAGCAGAAGCCTCCCAAAAGCTGCTACAAGGATTCCTATCCTGAACTGTCACAGTCTTGTGTTAACAGCCGTAAGCAGCAGCCTTGGCTGTCATATCTGGTGAGAGCAATATGAAGAGATAATTTTGAAAGTCTGTTGAGAGGCCCACTCGCATTCAAATGGTTTTGATAAAGATGGTGTGCAAAAAGGAATGAGTTCTCTGGAAGACTGTAAACTAAAAATACAAGCTGAGGTGTGTGTCCCACTGCTATTGTCTGTCTTTTTTATATTCTGCCAGCTTTAACTTGTATTGAATGCATCTCAAAGGCCCTGTACTGGCAGCAGGGAACCCTCCCTCTCAGCCCAGCACCAGTGCAGGGTGAGCAAAGTGTAACCTAAAGAGGCCAACTCTAGAAGGAAAGGAGTAGTTCATTGCCCATGCTTCCTGTTGAGATATAAAAAGGGTGCTAGCTAAGGTTGACTTTTATTTTTCAGCGTTGACTCAATCCATGCTTGTGTTTCCAGCAAGTCACTGACGAGCCAATGAACTTGGGCATCTGCATAGTGGGGCATACCATTGAACTGGGGACATCCCAGCATAAGGTTGTGTATCCCCTTGCCCAGTCCCCTGACCGATCTGTTCCCATTTGGATGTGTTTTGAAATGAGCCTTGAAATGTAATAATAGAAATGAGCTTGTCTGTGGCTGGGCTAGCGGAGCTGAGTCTTCCCAGAGACCCCGGTACACGAGGTCTGTATTAAACTTGCAGAATCCCATCCTTGGAGGTTTTGAAGCCCTGGCTAGACAAAGCCTTGGCTGGGATGATGTAGTTGGGGCTGGTCCTGCTTGGAGCAGGGGGTTGGACTAGATGTGACCTCCCGAAGTCCCTTCCCACCCTCATTTTCTGTGATTGTTTTGTTTCATGTCCGATACATCAGCAGGCTGTTTGGAAGCTGGGGCAACACACAGGCATTCATGACGTGCTCTGCTCTTTTATACATAGCAGTGGCACTTTAAACCACTTATATTCTAAAAAAACATAGTTTGAACATAAAATCCATCATAAAATCCCTAGTTCTCTGGTCTGCCAACCCAGTGTTTCCCCCACAGACAGCCTTGTCTGGGGATATTTCCTTTCCGTGCATGGAAACACAACGCTACATTGCAGCAAATAACTACAACATAGCTTAAAAGTAATCTGCCTCAAACCATCAGCACCTCTGACACAAGCCAACAACATTAATTAGACTCTGAAGGCCTGGAACTGCTCCCCATTAAAGCCCATCTGAGGAGCTGTGTTTCATGGGATAAAAATAGCAAATTAATCCACTTTCCTGTTAGAAGACAGGATCTCTACAGTCAACCCGCTCCATATCGTCTGACCCTTTTGCAGAGCACTACTCCAGTGTACATACATCTTCCACCCGCAAGTATACTCAGCAGATACAGGCTCCTTCCTCCTAAGAGCAGAGACTTTGGAAGAGGAGCTGATCGTCAGTTGGTTGGATGCTATGGCTGAAAGCCTTTGAATCGTGAAGAGTCTCATGCTCCTACCAGCTTCTGGATGACCTTGATTTTTCTTCTCAGCTTTCCCAGCCTGAAATCACTTTACTAGTTGCCCTCCTCTGTAACTTCATTTGATCTGGAGCAGAGTTAGAAGTCTGACATCACCGCATTGTTCATTACTTGCCTCTCTTGGGCTGTTCCTGAATCTCAATAAGAACCTCTTTTTGTAGCAACAGACCTGGCCGGGCACAGCAAAAGGTTCTTCCAATGCTCAATGCCGAAAGTCAACTTAGCTTTCATTTTGGAGGGTTTCCTCTTCTGATGTAGAATTTAAAAGGACTGTTGTGCACCCACTCCATCTTTGAGGACAGAACGCACTTGCATTTGGAGGCAACACCTTGGAGGAATAACAAAGATCATCGGCAACTTTCGGATGCCTTCTCCCAGGAAAGGAGCCCATCAAGTGTGTCCGATAACCCCTGTGGACTTCACCACTGTACAAGAAATATTACTTTCAGGACTATGAAAGGAACAGGAGTTATCGCTGACCTCCACATGGTAAACTTGCAACATTGCCAACCCTTGTTGTAGAGCCTACCTTCCAAATTCCCAAGCAGTCCTGAAGGACATTAGTACAGCCTTGGCAGGCCAGCTTAAAGAGGGCCTTCCCTTCTCTCCTAGGCTTACATCTAAAGCTGATTCCATGTACCGTATGCTTTGGCTTTGCCCCAGCTGGTCTGAGCTCACTAAGGCTCCAGGGAATTTAACCTGTAAGTCATTTCCTTTCAGCTCTAGCTTCTTTGTAGTCTTTTCATCAAGGAAGTGTTATTTTTTTAGGCAAGAACATAGACAAAATACAAGAACATATATAAAATGCATTCATCCAGCTTTGCTGGTAGCCAAGTACACTGCTAGAAAAAAATGGAAAGAAAGCAACCATCTGCCTTGTTCAATTGTTATGGCCGCTTCCTTTGGGTACACATCTTCTCCATACCTATGGTCTCCTTGTTTGGAGGGACTGGTTTCCCAGCTAGCTCCCACAAAGGGCAAATAAGGAAATGGAGGCAAGTGCAACTATAAAGTCTATTGACTTGTGTTCTTCAGCTAGAACAACAAAGAGGAATAAAGAAATTCATATTACCTTCGGTAAGAGTCTGTAGCCTCAGCACCACCTCAGAACAGATCAGATGTGCATCAAAGGCACATTACCTATAGCAAAAGGAATATAGGTGTATGTGTGTATATGTGTTTATATATATATATATATATAATGATTGTTACATTTTAACCTATTCTATTTTTGTATATATGCTGCAGTTGATCTCTTATTTTATTAGTGCTGTAGGTATCTTTTTGTCATCAGTGTTAATGTATCTGGTTAAATTGCAAATTGGTCTCATTTCTCTCTCCAGAATATAAGTTCTTCCTGTACATAGATCATTTGGTAAAGAAAAAGAAGTTCTAGTTTTTGTTACCTACTCATTTACCAGTAATACTCCCTTTTTTTGGCCAGCATTGTGTGTCTTCTTGTCCATCCCAAAATCCAATAAAAAGAATGTGTGGATGGGGAGATGATTTGAGGAGCTGATGTGGTTGATAGGGAGATGCTATTGGATAATTTGATCTCTTCCTTACTGCTTTATCTCTTTGCCCCGATAAAGAAGGATCATCTTCCTTCAGATATTCTGTTCCTCCATACCGGGTGCATCTACACAAAATGCTTACTGAACATTAGCCTAATAATTCTGTGCAGTAGCACATCACAGGACAAACCATGCTAATAGCCCACTGCGCAGTGTTATTAGGCTAATAAAGTAAGTGTCACTCCATAACCATGCACTGGCTGTACTGTGCAGGAACTCTAGGTACTATGCATTTAGTTAGTATTTTATTAAACAAGGACTAAACTAATGTAGTATCTAAGGTGCATTAATGTGTAAAGACACCCACTGAGTGCTTTTTGCTACATCAGGATGTAATTTATTTTGGAAGTGGTGGAAATGTTTTGTTTTAT